GAACCACCATCACATAGAACCACTATCACATAGAACCACCATCACATAGAACCACTATCACATAGAACCACCATCACATAGAACCACCATCACATAGAACCACCATCACATAGAACCACCATCACATAGAACCACTATCACTTAGAACCACCATCACATAGAACCACCATCACATAGAACCACCATCACATAGAACCACTATCACATAGAACCACTATCACATAGAACCACCATCACATGGAACCACTATCACATAGAACCACCATCACATAGAACCGCTATCACATAGAACCCACCATCACATAGAACCGCTATCACATAGAACCACCATCCACAGAAGCCTGCGGGGGGGGAAAGGGAAAGCAGACCAAAGGAAAGAAGCAAAGCGGGTTATGTTGGATTATGATGACTGTAATAGTGATGAAGTTTTTCTCAGTCGCTTTGGTACATTTTTCAGATTCGAACTGAAATTCTGAAAACTACCTGTTTAATCTTCACATAATTGTGTCACGTGTGCACATCAAAAAAGCAGTTTCCCATTTTTTGAACAAGTTGCAAATGCTTTGGTACATCCATGCAAATGATTATGTACAATTATCTGTTACGCCATGTAGATCAAAACAATGTCAGTTTCCATCGTTCGAACATCACCAGGCAATGGTTTGCGACCCGAAACAGGATGCTGATGGAGTTCCTCTCACTCTACTCCCCATTCCTTAACCGCATGGAGGAAATTTAATGACATAGTGTGTGAATAAATTACAGTACAATCAGTAAAAGCGTAAATGTGAATCTTATCCAGTCTGTTTCAATCAATCTCGCACAAACACTAAGGTGTGCACAGATCCTCCAGAGTACACTGTTATACTAACAACATGACCGTCTGATGCATACACAACGACACAATGAGGACTTCTGATGGACTGGCATGTTCAGTGAAACAGATTTTACTTTTGAGAGATGAACTAAGGATTTTGAGAGAGATCTCAAGGTCATCCATGGTGCTTTGCTATTTGTACAAGTTGTTTTGAGAAATGCACGTACTGTTTTGCAAATGTCGAGGATGATTCTGGGCGACTATGGGTGAGTGGGGAGCGCGGTTGACCTCCGATCAGAGGGTTGGAGCTTCAACTTCAACTGCGACTACAGTGTGTGAATGTTAGTTACTGGTGGGCAGGTGTCACTGTGTGTGGTTCTCCTGTCATCAGTGTGTGAATGTTAGTTACTGGTGGGCAGGTGTCACTGTGTGTGGTTCTCCTGTCATCAGTGTGTGAATGGGTGAATGATGTCATGTAGTGTTAAAGCACTTTGAGTGGTCGGAAGACTAGAAAAGCGCTATACACGTACAGACCATTTACCATTTGAGAAATGTACCACAGCAACAGACCAAAATTGTAATATTTAAAATAATGATGATAGCAGCAGCAGGTGTCAGCAGAGCCACAGCAGGAGGCAGGAACAGGGTCCAGATAGAACCATGAGCTGTGGAAACCTGTGAGGCGAGAAAGCACAAGTACTCCGTGGAAGAAAGTTAGTGATGTGCAATAATGTTTACAGCAGCTTGATAACTGAAGGCTCCATCCTACTTTTTAAGACTGAACAAGTAACCAGCATGTATGGAGCGCAGCTCTCTAGTGGCCGTATGGTGTTACAAGCTCTTTAAATTTTATTCTTGACTGTCTGTGACTGGCAGACTGTCTCTCTCTCTCTCCACCTGTCTCTTTCTTTGTCTATCTGTCTGTCTTGTTGACTGTGTCTCCCTCTCTGCACCTGTCTATCTCTCCATCCGTCTCTTTCTTTTTGTCTCTGTCTGTCTATCTGACTGTCTCTCTCTCTCTATCTGTCTGTGTCTCTTTTGTAACTCACAAGCACGTAGCATCAAATTGAAAACATCCATTAGTGCGGAGCCACATCAGAGCAAGTGGACGGATGGATGGATGGATGGAGGAATGGAGGGGGGCGGGTGTCAGGGGGGAAGGACGTGGGGGCTGCAGATGTTTCGTTGTTTGGAAAAGTATTTAGTGTCAGATGATTTATTTAACGAAGAAGAAGTAGAAGTAGAAGAGGAGGCCAAGGAATGAAATGATTTGCGTGTGAAAAAGCAGCGATGTAGATCAGCAGAGAAGAAGAAAAAGACGAGATGAGGAGATAAGAAGACAGGAAGATGTTGGAGAAAGTATAGAATTACACCGCTCAGGATTATCTCCTTTCACCTGGTCTACAGGTGAGACGCAGGTGAGACCAGAGCTGCAAAACATTCAGCACGAATAAGTGAACCTCTTCAGCACACAATCAGAAGAGAGAGCATCCGGTTAACCACACGACTAGAGACGAGTCCTGGTCCTGTCCAGGTCTCACCTGTAGCTGTCTCACCTGTAGCTGTCTCAGCTGTAGCTGTCTCACCTGTAGCTGTCTCAGCTGTAGCTGTCTCACGCGTAGCTGTCTCACCTGTAGCTGTCTCACCTGTAGCTGTCTCACCTGTAGCTGTCTCACCTGTAGCTGTCTCACTTGTAGCTGTCTCACCTGTAGCTGTCCTCACCTGTAGCTGTCTCACCTGTAGCTGTCTCACTTGTAGCTGGTCTCACCTGTAGCTGTCTCACTCTGTAGGCTGTCTTCAACTGGTAGCTTGTTCTCACCTGGTGCTTGTCCTCACCCGGTAGCTTTCCTGAAAATAATAATTATTGATGGATGTTAACGTAAACTGGTTCATCCTCTGAACATAATCACGTATTGATGGATGTTAATGTGAACCGTACTGAGTGACTCTAATGGAAGGTATTGAAAGAGGAGTCTGTCTGGGGGCTTTAAAGGTTCACAGTGAGGACAACACAGCCATTCCTGTTCCGACGTGTTCATGTCAAAACAAAATTTATTACTCATACAGACGGAAGTCATCCATGCAACAGCTCTGAACCTCGCAGCAAGGGGCTCAATCCGAGGCTTCGGGGACGCATTAGACGGGAAGACTTCTCCACAGGGAACACAGGTCCACCTGTGGACGGTGTGAAGACCGAAACCGCCGTCTCATGTGATTTCACATCCTCCTCTGAGAGTTTAGGTGTAGATGAAGATATTCCTATCCATCTACACTATAAAAAACAACCTCTAGAATCTACTCAATACATGTGAGGTAACAATTTGGGCAGATTTCACCACTTGTTTAAGTAGAGCATATCTACGGTTTATAAGATACACTCAAATAAATTAGGTAAAGTCTACACAACACTTTATACAACTGTAGATAATATTAACTCTTGATTATAAACACTTACAGTTTTTCTGAGTCGCTTTGGTACATTTCTCAGATCAGAATTGAAATTCTCAAAACTACGTGTTTAATCTTCACATCATTGTGCCACGTGTGCACATCAAAAGCAGCTTCTCATTTCTTGAAACAAGTTGCAAATGCTTGGGTACATCCATGCAAATGATTATGTACAATTCTCTGCTGTTTCCTACATTATCAATTTCTTATGTCATGTAGATCAAAATGTATTATAATGGTCTCTATTTAATAGTCTCCCCGCCCACAACGTTTAGGCATTAGTTCATCGCATAAGTCTTTACATGCAAAATGGTTGGACAAGTTGTCATAAACATGTCAAGTATATTTCTATACATTTCCATTAGACTTTTTTTCTAAATTTGTCCTGAATTAGTAAATTGCTCCCAGGTAAATCTTGACTTTCTCCACCAAAGGTGCATCTCATGAACCATCAACTGGTCATTAAGTATATAAATAGTTGGAGCACAACTCAGTTATGATGTCTGACAATGGAAGGACAAGGGATTTGACGACTAACCCTAACAGCCAGAGGGAAGAAGAAGAGGAAGAGGAGTGCGAGGACATATGCGTCTTGATGAGATGAGCCACACTTGAGCCACACTTTAATACACTTTATTGGGCCATACAATATAGAGCGTCTTGTCACCCCTTTGCACTCTCTACAGGGATCTCCTCCCTGAACAAGAGATGGTCAGATTGGAGATGAATTGCCAAAGTACGTGATAGTTTGTGACAATGTCAGTTTCGGTCACTCCAACATCATCAGGCGATGGTTGGCGACTCATAACATCATGCTGATGGAGTTCCTCTCCCTCCACTCCCCATTCCTTAACCCGGTGGTTCTCGAACTATGGGGCGCGACCCTCCAGTGGGGCGCTGAGGTATTACAGGTGGGGCGCGAGGGGCTTGGGGAAATGTAGATGTAAAAATGATTATTTTCCATCCATCCATCTTATAACCGCTTATCTTGCAAACAGGGTGACGGGGGGGCTGGAGTCTATCCCAGCCAACCACAGGCAAGAGACGGGGTTCACCCAATCGCAGGGCTACACAGAGTCATACAACCATTCACACTCACATCACCTATCACCCACACCTACAGGCAATTAGAGTTGCCAATCAACCTGATCCCCAGAGCACGTCTTTGTACTGTGGGAGGAAGCCGGAGAACCCGGAGAGAACCACGCAGACACGGGGAGAACATGCAGACTCGACACAGAAAGGCCACTGGGCGGAATCGAAACCAGGACCTTCGCAACAGTGCTAACCACCACACCACTGTGCCGCCCCAAAATTATTATTTTTTTTACGTATTATTTTATTTATAATCCTTCATTAATCCCACATTGGGTACATTATTCTCTGCATTTTACCCATCCTTAGTAGTTAAGGAGCAGTCTATCTATCTATCTATCCATCCATCCATCTATCTATCTATCCATCCATCCATCCATCCATCCATCTATCTATCTATACATCCATCTATCTACCGATCCATCCATCCATTCAACTGTGGTTCATTAATGGTGTGTCTGTATTTATCGAACTACTAAAAGGTAAAACTTCTGCTAAAGAAGTGTTTAATTTTTTATACACACATGTATACATACATTTGCTGTAACAGATATAATATATCACTAATTTTACTCCAGCAATCAATGTGAGATTTTTTTATCATCACTTTACTTGAGAAAAGAGAAAACCAAAGACTGAACAGTTTGTTCAAAGTGAGACTTTACTTTATATTAACATCCGAACATTGAACATATTTTCATCTTACAGATCTCTTCAGTCAACAACTGTTTGATTCAGTTTGTTTTGTTCAGGAATAGTTCAAAGTGTTTACTGATTGATTCAATAAATAAGCCAAACAATAGAAACATACATAATGATAAATCCCATATGGGCATTGTACTGAATGCACTGATATCAAAACACCTTTGGTCACAAATTCATTCAAGTTACGTGGCTGTGGTGCTGTGAAGCTTCCAGCTACATCCCGTGGTCTTCCTCAATAGACAGAGATTATTAGCTGCAGATGGGAATTTTTTAGGTTGTTGTAACATGAACTAAAGTGTCCCATCTTCTGGGCACACTACAAAAAAGTGAAACTTCTGGGCTCCCTGAAAAAAATACACTTCTGGCAACCCTGAGAAAAGAAAAAAAAAGAAAGTGACATTTCTGGGCACCTTGAAGAAAGTGCAAATACCCAATGTCCACTATGAATATACTTGTATATGAAGAAAGCCATTAGCTGTAGCTGAAAGCTCCTGAAACACCAAGTAAGTTGAGGCTTTTTGGCCCAACAGAATCCTGTTTTTAAGATCTCAGTTGGACATGAATCTCGTTCGACTGTGTTTTTAAGCAATTTAAGACCTGGCGAAGCCTTTCCTTTGTGACCATGAAAGTAATCCATGAATGTCTTCAAAAGTTCATCCTTTCAGCTCCTGAACAGCAGAAGGTTGTTGGTAAATAGTATGTGGTTCAGTACAGTATTTGTTTAGGGAGTAGCAACTGTTTTGTCATAGTAATGGTTCTAGTAACAGCAGTCGTGGTGAGGTGTTGCCTCAGTAGTTGCCTCAGCGATAGGTGTCGAGGTATGCGTATCGGTAGTGGTGATAACAGTAGCCATGGTGACAGAGGCTATGCCTCAGTAATCGTCATAGCGATACGTGTTGGGGTATGCGTAGCGGTAGTCGTAGCCGTCAGCTCGCTCAGTTTTAGTCTGCAGAGGTTCAGGCTGAAATGACAGAGACTTGATGACTCCGGCCCGACTCCTCCGTAACCTTAACCTCAGTGGAGTAGGAGGAGGAGGGATCATCCAGCAGGGAGGAGCAGCTGGGGAGGCCGGGGAGTTTAGGAGGAGCACAGGGCTGATAGGACTGGAGGCCGGCCGAGGGCTTAGGACAGGACTGGTATGAAGGGAGCTGAGCAGGAGGCTTGGGACAGGGCTGGTAGGAAACCTGAAGAGGATCAGAACCGGTGTTAATGTAACGGCAATCGTGAGGGGTTTCCCCAGAAGAGAACCTTTGACAAACGGACTTTTGTAGACCCCAAAAGAGGTGACACTGCTTTCAAAAACCTTCAGATCTAAAGATTTAGATCTGAATGTGTGCAGTGGGATCCTCCAGACAGCCTCTACTCACCTTGGTTGTTGTGGTGATGATAGTCTGCAACGCAGCGGGGGAGCTTGGGGCGTTCCCGGGGTAACGGCAGGGGTACTCGGTGCTGTAGTAATGGTGGTTGTCGCCGTAGGGTGCAGAGCTTTTCAGCAGCTCCTTCCAGCCAGCAGGAGACTTGCTCTGGGGGTCGAAGGAGGAGCAGGTGGAAGTGAGAGGAGCTGACAATGGTGTGGAGGAAGAAGAGGAACCAAGGACCGGAGGCACCCTGCACAGAGACCAGGAGACATCTTCAGACTCACAGAACCTTGTTTACAAAACACACGTTAAGTCAAGTCCTAGTTGGATGAGTACCGGTTTAAACTAGCATGTTCTTGATTTGACCAGTTTAAACTAGCATTGTCTGGATTAGACCTGTCTAAAATATCTTTGTCTGGAGTACATTTGTTTAAAAGACACCAGATATCCCAGGTCTGCCAGAATTTGGCATAATCTGATTTCGTTAAAGTATATTTCTGAAGACATTTCATATCTGGTTATGCTTTTAGGACCTTGATTTGAATTGGTTAGACCGGCTCTGGTTCTGGTTTTACTCTCAATGTACTTGAAGGTCATGAAAGTGGCCTTTGCCTTGAAGGTCATGAAAGGGGGTTTGCGTGAGGCTGACCTGGGGTCACAGAGGTCAGAAGTCATGGGATACGTAGGCGAGGTCAGGTATCCTTGGAACTCATAGCCGGGCCGGCCCATGTAAATTCTGGGATTGGCTGGTTTCTGCATTGTGGGTTGGGCCTCCCCTACTGCATTGTGGGGGTTGTAGTAGGGCTCCGGGCTCTGGAATGCTGGGTAATGCTGCGGGAAATTGGGCTCGATGAAGGAGATTCTGTCTGATGGATCGACACATGAGAGGAGGGCGGGGCCTAGAGTCTAAAACAGAAAACAACAAATTCACAAATAAATAAACAATAATATTAAGAATATAAATAATAATATTAACAAACAGCTGGTGTTGTTTTTATGTTGTCGACCTGTGTCTCGATGAGTCGTCTCTTCGGTGTGAACGGTGGAGAGCTCACCCGTCTCTTCACCGAACTCCGTCTGGCTTCGGTCTCTGACTTGGACTCCGGTCTGGGATGATCATGGACCCCTTTTGCCTAAAGAACCACAACAACAACAGATATGATAACAGTCCGATTTGAATCTGGTTCAAACCGGTTGATTCCTCTTTTGAACCCTTTACTGAAGCTCACCAGGTAGAGCTCACAGCATAAGCACCAATACTGAAAGCCACTTTTCAAACCTACTTCGGGTGATTTGACATCAGAGACCTAGGCCCCCGATCTGAGTGGACTTGGCCCCTGTAGATTTGCGTGCACCGGATCACTCAGGTCCACTTAGAAGTTTCAGTATTAGAAGATATTGAACGCGCTGTTCTTTAACTCAGTAAAATCATTCTAAGTATTAGCGTTTCAGTCCCTTCAAGCCAATCAAGAAATAATGGCCTCAATAGATAATCTTAAAAACAAAGAATTATTTAGCAGAATGGGATTTGAGATTTGAGTTTAATTATAATCATTTTTTGACCATTATAAATGCTAATGTGGAACTGCTCCCCAAGGGCTGAGACATGGAGATGTACAAATGAACATCAGGATGACCAAGTTGTTCATTGGGGTTAACAGAACTATCTGCCATATTAAGTGTCCCAGTTAGCCGCATATTTGTTTTTCAAGCAGACTGTAAAGGTGGTGACCTGGAAGAAGATGGCCTTTCCATCCACCCTCCAGAAGTTGGTGACAGGATAACCGCTATGACCGCGGCAGGGCAGCAGCTCCAGACTGGCGTTGCAGCTGGGACACAGCTTCTCTGAAACACAAGGAGTCTGCTCAGGTGACAGGTGGCAACGGGTGGACGGCAGCTGAACGGCCTGCGGCCTTCTCTTACTCTGCTGCTTCTGCCGGGCCTTGTCGCAGATGGCCGGGCGGAGCTGGAGCCGGGACCCGTCGGGCAGCGTGCAGCCGCGAGAGCAGACTACCACGCCCAAACACGACTTCTTCAGGATCTGACAGTTGTGGTTGTTGGTGTTTCTCATGGCCCAGCCGGACAGATGTCTCTGAGCATTCTTATCTTCAGCTACAATTAACGATTAATGACACATTGTGATGCACAGTGCATAACAACTTATTGAACTTTTATTCAAAGTTTTGATATTCATAACATGTGAACGTTCATATTTCAGTAATAAAAATTACCAATAACTTTGATCATATGTATGATAATAACACAAACATTTGTTTCTCACCACAGTAGATATATCGAACGTAACCATCTGTCCACTCCTGGAACGGGTCGAACTGCTTTGTGTCCTGCCGACACACAAAGAGGCAGAGAGACAGACAGATTAGTTGCAGAGCTCCACACATTCTAATGCGATTATGTGTGTGTGGACACATAAGTCTCTCTCCACTTTAATAATCTGATGAGGAAACTTATTTCTAAAAGTCCAGACAAATCAATAGGAGATATTGATCAGTGGCTCCAGCTGAGACACTGTTTTGGTATCACTGAAACAAAAATATGAAAACCAGTTTCGTGTGTTGGATCAACAACGGACTGAAGAGACGAGTCAGCGGCTTCTCATAACCTTTAGAAAGCTTCCTTCTCTGGGTCACCAAGAGACATTTAATATAAATTAAAAATATATATGTATATATATAAACTGTGTCATTCCTAAAATAAACTTCAAAGGGATGTCGATTGGTTGGGTTGAATTCCTTTCAGACGTAAAACTTAATTTAATTTAATAAAATGAAAGATGTACAATGTAAAATAAAGACTCACCATGGAGCTTTCAGACTATATTTAGATCTTAATGTTGAAAAAACACAATGGCTGTTATGGATGACTAAAAATGACTCAGTAAAAATTATATATTTTTCTCTAAATGTACTGTTTAATTTATGATTTCATACAAATATACGGAATTATACTTAGTGAACATACAAGTGAACATTTAAATGAAAAATGGGGCATGCAAGACGTTTTTAGATTTTATTAGATTTGGTTGGAAGCTTGAAACCAGAATTTCGCAGGTGGCTACATTTATTTAAAAATAATTCATATTTGTACGCTGTCATAATACATGTTAGAATATGATTAGTGTATGTTCAGCCTAATAATATCTGTTCCTTTTAATAATATTGGTTAAAATATAATTATAATTTATCAGTTTTTCTAAAACTCAGGGACAGATTTTAGTTTAGAAGGAGAACTCCATGTGAGAAATGATCAATTAAAATAAAACAACAAAACTTTATAGAAGTAGAAAAGGTGTAGACATAGACAAACTATTCATTTAGTTCACTTTGACAATAGTAACAATAATAATAATAATAACACAGTGGTTTTGTTTTTCATTCATGTGTTTTTGCTTAAAACTGTCAGTGATAACAACAAATAATAAAAATACAATCTAATTAAAGTGAAAATCAGAATATTCACTGATCTCTGATCCCTGATCTCTGATCTCTGATTACTGGTCCCTGATCACTGGTCCCTGATCACTGACCCCTGATCTCTGGTCCCTGATCACTGGTCCCTGATCTTTGGTCCCTGATCTCTGATCCATGATCTTTGGTCCCTGATCTCTGATCCATGATCTCTGATCCCTGATCACTGATCCCTGATCTCTGGTCCCTGATCTCTGGTCCCTGATCACTGGTCCCTGATCTCTGGTCCCCGATCACTGATCCCTGATCTCTGGTCCCCGATCTCTGGTCCCTGATCACTGATCCCTGATCTCTGGTCCCTGATCCCTGGTCCCTGATTTCTGGTCCCTGATCACTGATCCCTGATCTCTGGTCCCTGATCACTGGTCCCTGATCTCGGGTCCCTGATCACTGGTCCCTGATCTCTGGGTCCCTGATCCCTGATCCCTGATCTCTGGTCCCTGATCACTGATCCCTGATCATTCTTCTATGATTGTCTGGACTTTAGAATAAGTTTCTCACAGATATTAAGTGGGAGAGCCTTAGTGTCCACCACATATAATCGCATTGAATGTGTGAGCTCTGCAACTATCGTCTGTCTCCCGCCTCTCGTGGGCGCAGGACACAAGCAGTCGACCGTTCCGGAGCGGCCAGAGGTTACGTTCGATATATCTACTGTTGTGAGAAAACAAAGTTGTGTTATTTCATACATATGATCCAAGTTATTGGTCATTTTTTTACTGAATATGAAGGTCCATGTTATGAATTCAAAACTTGGAATAAAAGTTCAATAAGTTGTTATGCACTGTTCATCACAAGGTGTCAAGGCTCCTAATTGTAACCGAAGATAAGAATTCTCAGAGACATCTTCCGGCTGGGGGGGGGGGGGGGGGGGAGGGGGCATTTATAGTAAGAATACAATGTTTCTTATTTTCATCATAGAATATACCTAAAGCAATGAAAACTATTGTTGTTATTTTATCTATTAATCATAACTGAAGAGAATAGATTTGTATTATTAAATAATAGTAAATTATTAAAATAAATGATTTTCCTTAGTTTTAATGTTTCAGGTTTTAAAAATGCCGATTCAAAGAAACACACACTCCACAGGTGAACAGGTGTGTGTGTGTGTGTGTGTGTGTGTTGTGTAAACACTTCAATGTTTCTCCTAAAACAAATAACCTCATTAGTCATCAATTAAAGGACAAGAGGACATTACCGTCTTTCTCTCTGTCTCTCTGTCTCTCAATAATAGGGCATTTATTTATTTATTTTCGTTTGCTGCTGAAGTTTAATTTAATTTGTATTTCAATGTTAAAAAAACATTTTCCTGCTTGGAATAATGCAGAAATACAAAATGGTGAGATGCTATGGATAAACAGATATTAATTATGTTCATGATGTTATTTTATTGGTTGTTAAAAAAACGGATTTAAAAAAGAAATTATTTATTTATTTTGGCTAAAGACAAATAAAACTACTCAGTTTGACATATTCTAATAGTAATTATAATTCCATAATAATACTGTGTACATTTTGTTTTAATCCGTCTGGTTCAAATGAGTCTGATATTCCTCCGCTGAGTGGGGACTATTTTCTCTCTGTGCACGTGGCTGTGACTGTGATTAGTTAATTAGCAGCAGCTGTGCGTGCAGCCGTGCACGTTCTCGACACACTGCGAGGAGAGACGAGATGGTAAATAAACCGAATTATTGATTTTTAAAGATTCTTTTTATTTCCAACTAAATCTGATTGAGTCAGCTGACCATCTGATTATTGATCAGGAAATGTTTCGTTAGATTAATTATATTCAATAATAATAATATGAAACACTGAAGGAAGAGGTGTTCACACCATGTCGGACTCCGCCGTTATTTATACAGTTACATACATTTATACAGTGCAGCTGTAGCGCCCCCTGCTAGCAGGCTGCAGGAAATGGCTCACCAAAATAAAAGTCCTGCTGGGTGCTAATGACAGAAGTGATGAAAAACGTTTTAGTGCCTTATAGTTTATTGACAAAAATGTTGAACTGTAGCTATATTACAATAGTTCATCGGAGGTCATGCACAGTGCATTGCCACGTGTACAATATGCATTGGGAAAGCATCTTTAAGATTTATTTCAACAGCAAGAGTAAATACAACAAATAAACAAATATAGCCACCAGTGCTGGTGAAAATATTCAGTTAAAATGTTTAGTGTAAAATCTACAGAGATGAGCTAAACGAGTTAAACACGCCTTCCCCTCTCATGTTAATGACGGAGTTCACTGCTCTGGAAAGTACTCTAATATAGAAGCACTCAGGAGAGTATTCTGTACTCTTGCAAGTACTCTGGAGAGTACCTTGTACTCTGGAAGGCCTCTCCCCTCTTCGCCATTGTACTCCTCGTTAAATCACCTGTTATCTTGAATTTTGATATGTCAGCTGAAGCGTTTTTTTAGAATAACTTTATATGTAGTACAACTTGTTCAACTTACGCTTGAGCTGTTTTAGTGTCTTGAAATACTGGATAGCACACGGCTAACGTACCAGAGTAGAAGCTAGCTTGAACAAGCTAATCTTTAAACTAGCTTGATAATGTGGGCATGAAGGTCGATGTGAAGAAATGATGCGTTTACTTGGTTTAACGTGCATGTGTGTCAAGCTAATGATTTGAATATTTACTGCATGAATCCGCTTCTTTTTTGTCTAGTTAAACTCTGTAAACGGTAACTTCTACACTAAATTCGTAAGGATAATTGAATGACTAGTAGAAACCTGGTGGAGACGCATTGAGAAGGATTATAAGCCGGGAAAGAACCTACACACCCTTTCTGATGGCATTTACCTGTCTGTTCTTCTTCACAAATCCATATATAGATGTATTCATGTGTTATGTTTATTAGAGGGCTTTACTCAACTCATAACTTTGGAAGGTCAAATCAGCTTCAACTCACGTTTTGTACATACAATTTTTGCTAGCATTACTTTTCTGTATTTACTGTGGTCAAACATAAGTTCTTGTTATTGAAGTTATAGACATATAGTTATAGACTTTTTCTATCCTCTGCCAAGATACTAATTTCAACCAAGACCTTTACAATAGTGCCACGAGGGCTTTAACTTTAACATATTGTTTGTTTAGCTAGAGGTTTTAATACTACATTGGAGTGCAGGTTTACACTCACTATTGTTTTTAACACCACATGTACGTTTCTATGGTGAAAATGGCTTGAATTGTACTCCGATGTGTGTATTATATAAAACGCACTGTAAACGCATATTTCAGTGTTCGCAGAAATCTATTTTACTATTTTAAATGTATCAATTCTTTTAAGAACAGTGTTTTTTTTTCCATCTTTGAAACTGTCCGTGAGGTTTAATTGTTGTTGTTGCACAAATGGGAGCTACACTTGCATCTCAAAAATGAAAGATAATTTGACAAATTGTGTGTAAACAGAACTTCTATTACATTGTTAAGACGTATATAATTGTGTATTTGGGTTTTTTCCCCTTGCAAACATTGTTCTATATATTGTTTTAAGAGCTGGACAGTTCAAAAATTCAATTGAAAATAAGGTGTTGGGAGTAATTCTTTAATCAACAGTCAGTGTCAATTAGGTCCCAAACTCATGAAGAGTAATATGTCATTTTTGATTAACCCTTAAACATTCTAGTGTCAAATTGGAATAACAGTGAAAGTGTTATTTACATCTTAGTGTAGTATGAACTATTACATTATTAACCCTAACCAGAGTAGTCTTAACTGTGGAAATGTAACACTATGTCCCGTGTAACTTGACTAACTCTTGGTGGATAATCACCATATGTTCACCGACTGGAGTTAAAACCAACTCTGTGTTTGTCCATTTGACTGTGTATGACAAATGTGTATCTCTCTGTCCCTCTGTCTCTCAGATGGAGTTAAAGATGGAGGAGTGTCTCCTCAGGGGAGATTCGTGTGATCTGATGTCTGTTCTTCACAACGAAGGACTGACTGCCATCACGCTCAACAGACTGGACCAGTTGGTCACCAAGGTAACAGGACAGGGTGGTCACCAAGGTAACAGGACAGGGTGGTCACCAAGGTAACAGGACAGGGTGGTCACCATGGTAACAGGACAGGGTGTCTGACCTATCCAATGTAAGAAGAAACATCACTGAATTCACTTTGGTGTCTGATCGTAGCATCGAGTCATTAATAAAGTGATCTTGTTACACTGTTTTAATCATGACGTTGAGCTCCATACAGCTGCTCAATGACATCTTCAGAACCACCACCCTCATACGAAGTTATGAACCTTCCTCCATTCAAAGTTTCTGTCTTCCAAAGGTTCCCTGGCTTTAAAGGGTTTATTCATTCTCAACAAATGTTCCTTTTTATTCAATGTTTCCTTCATTCAAAGGTCACTTTCACTACTTCCCGGTCATTTCACTCAGTTAGGAACCTTCCTCATCAAAGAGGACTGTCCCAATCCAGCCTTAGGCTGTGTCTCTAGTCGCTAGGCTGCATCCTTAAGGACGCATTCGTCAGCCGCATCCGTCACTTCTGCTGCGACTCGCCTGTCCCAATCCGAAAACGCCCGGTCGAGGACGCAGCCCTCCAGGAGCCGGTTTGGAGGACACATCTGATCTATCCTTTGCGGCCCAGCATATCCCAGCATGCAGTGCGGGCCGATAAGGATTTCATTTTTTCAGAACGGAGGTGTGTGATCCGACCAAATGTAACGTTAAGTAATAGAATTCACTTGAATATCTACCGATAGAAATGTTATAATATGTAACATCATATCTTAGTTTAGGAAATCGCTTAAGTTATGTGACGTTAGTAACCGATGTTGTGTTTTTAAATTCACATAAGACTTTAGAACAAACTGCTTTTAGTAATAACGTTAACTTCGTCCCCCAACCCCCCCATACAGCCCCTGACCCAGACTCCTGACCCCCCGGAGCCATGCTGCTGACATTACTTCATATTATGAACAGAAATGATCAAAGTGAGCTCAGGTAGACAAGTTATGAACCTCAGATATCACATTACAGAATAAATACACAAACTGAACTCGCTTTGCTCCTTTTGTTTTGTGGTGTGATTATAAACTAACTTGACATTTAGTTGTGTTTTATGGAGCAGGAGGAAGCATCAAGCTGAAGGAGAACCATGTGTGTGTGTTGACATTGGGCTGCTGTAGCGTGGACATATTCTGTAGTATTTTTTTAAATCGCTCGTATCCTATGCAAGATAAAAAGGTCCTTGCATACAAGTTAATTAATGTGTTTGCTGTTGTGGTTTTTATTGACAACATTATTGGAATCTGCTCTGCCTTAAGATTGAAATATTACTTTAAGCTGAAAGTAATTATTAAGGCTTTTATTGTTAAGCGCAGCAGGTTGCTAGGCAACAGGAGCAGCGAAGGTAACGCTGATGACGCAGGCAGGACGTCCCCCCGTAGGACAGACCGTCCCGTTTCAGGGAGCGCTCGGTTCAGCCTGTGCGGTTGTTGAAGGACCAGCCCAGGTAGACCTGAAGGCTGCAGGCTACAAGGATGCAGCCTAGCGACTTTGAGACACAGCTTGAGTCTTCAAAAGGTTCTTCATTTAAAGGCCCGGTCTTTCTTATGCTTCCGTCTTTTTAAAGGTTCTGTCATTCAAGGTTTCTTTCGTCAAAGGTTTTAGTCTTTTAAATTAACATTGTAATAATTATAATAATCCTACTAAATCTATAAAAGTAAATGTTTATAATCAAAATGTACAGTGCAAATTAAGTTTTTATATGACTCCTAAATGATCAACACTGTTACTTTGCATCTGAAAAACATTATTTTATTGTAAAAATGACTTTCTGTCCAGACAGTAAAATATACTTAAACATATTTGACTCATTGCACGTGAAGCTAAAACAGCAGCTCCAAATTTTAAACTCAAGACCAACCCACAAATCTCAGTTTTTATTAACACATCCATAACTGTTGATTATGATTGAATGATTGATTATTGATTTAATTGGGTTTCAGGATCTATGTGGATCCAGATTCACCAGAGTTCTGATTGTGTTGAAGTCTTTGGAGCTTCTGTCAGAGAACCGAGTACATTTGCAGACCCTCATTGACCACGGGCTAACCGCTAAGGTAACAGTAATCTATTGAAGTGATCTGTTTATAATAATTATTAAAAGTAATCCATCCATGAAAGGTATTCTGTAATCCATCAGAGTAAACTGTAATTGGTTACTCGTTGATCCATCCATTCAATATTCGTTATTCAGTAATCAAAGCAATCAATTTATGAAAGTACACTGAATAATAAAACACTCATTGTAAAAAATAAAAAATCTTTAATTCTGATTATTGGATAATAATCTAAAAGTAACAAAATAAAATTAATAATTCAAAATGTACTAAAAATAAAACAATTAATCTAATAATCACTCAATTTCATTACTTTTTTAGGTGGTGTTGTGGTTCGAAGCCGTCCATGACATTCTGACCTCTGACCTCCTGAAGAACTCTGCCTCTCTCCTGGCCCTCACTGAGGAGTTCTATGACTTCTTCCAGGTGAGGAGCATGGTGGGAAATGGAGGCCTGTGTTGTCTGCTAAAGTCACTACGCATAACACTACAATAAGTGTGTTTTATGAATGAATGCTTGATTATAAACAATCGTTGTTTTAATACTGTCTGTCTCCCTCTCTGTGCCTGTCTGTCTCCCTCTCTGTGCCTGTCTGTCTCCCTCTCTGTGCCTGTCTGTCAGCTGCTGGGTCAGACTTCTCTTCCAGGTTTGTTTCTTTATTTTTTGTTTTTAATCTTTGGTCTGATCTTTTTTTAACTTTGTGCCACATGTTGAATAAAGACATCTGTCTCCCTGCCCACCTGTCTCTCTCTCAGTCAGTCAGCTGTCTGTGGTTCTCCTTCGGTTGGCTCGGTTCACTCTGGAACCAGAAATCCACTTCCCACTGAGACTTGAGGTAACAAAGATGAGGCGTATGCGTACTGCATCCAGAACGTTTGACATGTATTGGGTTTCTTGTTTTAGGCCATCAGAACATTTAACAGCATCCTGGAGTCTCTGAGCCGCGAACAGAAGAAACTGATCCAGATCGACCAGAACCAGACCCTAATACTGTAATACACACCCAGTACACACTGCAGCGCAAATACAGAGTAACCACTGTAGTACACGATGTATTTCTACCTCTGTGTCTGACAGACCTCAGGTGGCAGCCGCGGTTCTGACAGCTGGAGGTGAGGAGGAGCTGTGGTGAGGGAGGAGGACTGTGGTGAGGGGGGAGGAGCTGTGGTGAGGAGGAGCTCTGTGGTGAGGGAGGAGGAGCTGTGGTGAGGGAGGAGGAGCTCTGTGGTGAGGGAGGAGGAGCTGTGGTGAGGAGGAGCTCTGTGGTGAGGGAGGAGGAGCTGTGGTGAGGGAGGAGGAGCTGTGGTGAGGGAGGAGGAGCTGTGGTGAGGGAGGAGGAGCTCTGTGGTGAGGGAGGAGGAGCTCTGTGGTGAGGAGGCGCTGTGGTGAGGGAGCTCTGTGGTGAGGAGGCGCTCTGTGGTGAGGAGGCGCTCTGTGGTGAGGGGGGAGGAGCTGTGGTGAGGGGGGAGGAGCTGTGGTCTGGGATTGGGGGACTGACCTGTTGGACATATTGAGGACAATGAAATGTCCTCCAGGTGTCTGAAGCTCTGTTCTCATTGGTCGGCTCTCAGACTACGAGCTGCAGGTCAGCCTATCAGAGGCTCTGTGTCGCCTCACTCCGAGGCGGGACCGAGAGCAGAGATCCAATCAGTGGTTCTCCAGCCGTGACATCAGCAGCGCCTTCTGTGACATCAGAGACGCAGACTTTGAAGTGGTGAGTGTCTCTTCCTGTCCTTCGGACCGTTCTCTTTGTCCTTCCGTCTCACTCGGATATATCTTTCTCAGAAGCTTGATACTATGATTCAGTTCAACTGTCCTCTGACCTTTGACCCTCACATCAGCCCTATCAATCCTAGCCATGAGTTTTCAAGTAAATAAAAACAATACTGTATAATCATCACAATGTGGTCGACCTTTGATTATTGTTTTCCTCTCATCCTCCTGGACAAATTACGTTTTGGTGGAAGGAAGGAAGGAAGGAAGGTTGGATGTTACTAGATGCTCACCTGTCTCTGCGTGTCCCTTCCGGTCTTTTTCTAGGACTGTCGCCGGTTCCTGAACTTTGTTAATGGTCTTCTTGGCAACCAGAGGAGGTGAGGAACTTCATCACTGTAATGAGTCTGAACTCTTGATGATTTTCAACCCGTTTGGCCCGGCAGGGTGTACACCTTCCCCTGTGTCCGAGCTCTCCTCAACTCCACTGAGGTAAAAACATTAAACCCCTTAAATTAAAACCACATGTCGGCAGACGTCTTGTTTACTTCATATGTTCTTCTTCTACAGCTGTTTCCACCAAAAGACGACAAACTGGACGACTTCTGGATTGATTTTAACATCCATTCGGGATGTGTAAGCTTCTTCATCGACGAGCCCGAGGTACAACTGCAGTGGCACCAACGCGTCAACATGCAGCTTCTTCATACCTCTGAAGAGCACAGCTCATGTCACTATGCTAGCCCGGCTAGGACGTAACGATTGATTTTATTAGACAAAGGACTTGTCTTTGCTCTGGTCTCATTGGACCTTTAGTGCTGCGTTTGACCGTGTTGACCATCACACGGTGTTAGAGAGTATTAACTCTTGTTGACTTCCTACTTTACACTGAGCTCTTCCTCATCTGTATATATCCATGTCCCATTAATGCACATTCGTAACTTTCCCATCCAACGTGTCCTCCTGAATGTGTGAATTTTCCTTATTTAGGGTTTCCTTTGGGGGTCCGTCCACCTCCTAAAAGAAGACGTGGATTGTTACAGTCTTCACCTGAAACATAAACGTCAGTCCTCATCAACGTCTGACTGATACTTGATCGTTTTGTCAGCAATACTGGAAGAATGTGTCTTCTTTCCCAGAATGCAACGGGGCAGAGACTGTCCTCAGTGTCAAGCTCAACAAACCCATCATGCACAACAACAGCAGAGCTCAGACAGTGGAGCTGAACTTCAACTGTGAACACCACCGAGACCTGGAGGAGGCTGCTGGGAAAGTCTTCATGGTGCCTGTCTGCCTGCCTGTCTGCCTGTCTGCCTGCCTGTCTGTCTGCCTGTCGTTATGTCTGACTGCCTAGCTGTCGGTCCTTTCCCTATGAATATAGAAGGCAAGGACTTCTCCCCGTCTTAAGGACACAGGTGGGACGGTCCAGGTGTCCCCCTCAGCAGACATCCAGCATGTTCGATCGTACGGACGGAAGAAAGCGCAGAGCAAGAGTCAGCTGAAGAGTGAGTGCGTTTGAAGAGTGAATAACTCCTCACATCTGTAATTAGAAGTAACATTTTAAAAATATGAAACGCGGTACATCTGTTAAAAGAAGCCTAGATACCCCACTAATAATAATAATAATGATTATATTATTGATTCAGGATATTTTTGATAAATGTAATTAACGTTCTTGCTCTACCTGTCTGTATAGTTCTTCCTCTGTCGTCTCCGAGCAGTGAGGAAGACTCTTTCGTGTCCAAGGTAACGTCACTGTGCAAACAGCTGTCAATAAAAACGGGTAGTTTGGACTTCAAATTGAATCGTTTGTTTAATGTTTCCAGGCTTTAGTCAGCGGATCAGAGTTTCTGTTTGATCAGATTCAATCCGATCGACACTCAACTCCGACACACGACTCAGGTCAGTCCGTCCATCTCAGACTAACTTGTGTGTCTCCTTTCTTTTGGAACAGGACCAGAGAAAAGAAGCACTGAAGCACCTTCCCTTGTGTGTTTTCTGATTGTGACTGACACCCAGTCTTCCTCCTGTGTGGGATGCAGGATCTGCATCAAAGATCAGAAACAGAAAATTACTCAAAGTTGACAAAGAGAAAAGGGTATAACCTGTGTGTGTCTCAGGGGTTCCTGCAGGGGCAGAGCTAGAGATCTCTCAGGAGAAGGGGGAGAGGTCAGGGTCACACATCTCTCTGTTCGTGAAGGTACAGTGGTTCCTTTTATTACTCTTTTAAAAATATTAATGGTCTCCAATATTTGACCTATTTCCTATTTGCTATTCCAGGAAGCCTTGAGTTGTGACGGGAAGAGAGCAGCTCCAGATTCAGGTTTTTGTGTTGACACTTTAGCTTATTTAAACCTTCTGAGAACAATCTTGGATATAAACGTTACAAAGTACTAATTTCCTCACGTCAATAAGTAGAATGAGGTCATTGTTTGACTAACGTTGGGCTCATCCTTTTAGTCCTAAATATTGTTTTTATCGATGTGAAGGGTACTTGTCAGACCATAATGAGGGCCCACGGGCCCAGAAGAGGAGGGCGGAGCCTCGTTCAGAAGAGGAGGAGACTGCGTCACTAGTAGCTGGTAGTTTGTCATTGCTGCTTTTCTCAAACGTCAGCCAATGCTTAAATCATTTTATAAATCTTCTTCTTCTTGTCACCTGGTCTCAGAATCTTCATGGAAGGGGGTGGGGCCACCAGAGGAGGGGCTATTTGCTGCAGGGGCGGGGTCACCTGTTGAAGGGAAGAGGCCTGTGACAGAGTTGCAGGTGGAGTCAGACCCAACGTCTGGCATCACAGCTGCCTTCAACAACTTCAAAACAGAACTCAACAAACACTTCACCGTCAGTGGACTGGCCGTTGAACACAATGTTATTGATATTTGGTTGACCATTAGCTTCCACAGTTAATCAATAAAATCTCCTATTTTAATTTGTTTTCAGGGCTGCTGGCAAAACGTTGAAGCTGAAATTCTTCTGTCTTTAAAAGAGTGTCAACAGCACGTCTCTTCTTCTCATGACCGCTGTCCAGCACCACAGGTACCGCCCACTCCACACACCCCTCCAGGTACTGCCCACTCCACACACCCCTCAGTCATCCCAGGTACCGCCCACTCCACACACCCCTCCCTCCACCCAGGTACCGCCCACTCCAACAAAACACCCCTCAGTCATCCCAGGTACCGCCCACTCCACACACCTTTAAGTCATACCAAGGTAACGCACCAACTCCACACACCTTCCTCATCCCAGGGTACTGCTCGCCTCACACCTGTCAGTCACCACAGGTTTCGGCCCACTTGTCCTTCACCATAGGCAACGGCCCACTTCCGCACAAATGTCTGTCACCACAGCACCGCCCCCTGTCAGTTGCCAGAGGTACGCCCCACTTGGTCAGTCACCATAGGTACCACCCACTCCGCATTAAATGTCCGTCACCCACAGGCACCCCCCCACTTATCCGTCACCACAGGCACCGCCCACTCTGCACACCTGTCAGTCACCACAGGTTCCGCCCACTTGTCCTTCACCATAGGCACTGCCCACTCCGCACAAATGTCTGTCACCACAGGCACCGCACACCTGTCAGTTGCCAGAGGTACCGCCCACTTGTCAGTCACCATAGGTACCACCCACTCCGCATTAAATGTCCGTCACCACAGGCACCCCCCACTTATCCGTCACCACAGGCACCGCCCACTCTGCACACCTGTCCGTCACCACAGGTTGAGCCCACTTTATTTCTACTTGCGTGTGTGTGTGCAGGTCAAAGTTGCTGCAGAGGTTTGAGAACAGCGTCAGTGATCAGCTGAACCGACTTCATGAGAACTCAACCAGCTTGAACAGCATGAACACACAGATCCTGGTACTGACAGATTAGTATTACTACGACATCCTAGCACCAGTTCTAGTATATTTAGTAGCAAATAAATACATGATGCATTATTACAAGCCACTGTGAGCTTTGTATTTGAGAGAAGATGTTTTAATATTCGCATTGATTACTTATCTCAAATCTTTCTTCTTCTTCAGAGTTTTTTCAAAACCGAGATGCTGCGACTGGGCTCCTTCTGTGATGAACACCTGCACAGGTGAGTTTGATCTGGCTCTAAATGAAGGGATCCGGTTGGACCTGTTCAGATGTTCTGGTTCTGTCTTCTCAGGTTGAGGTCCTTAGAGGAAGGAGAGCCAGTGGCAGGTTCTTGGTCCAGCGAATGAGGGAGGAGGAGAGCTTGTGCAACCGGGGAGAGGCTTGTTTTTGTCCCCCCACATTCAGAAGAAGAAGAGTCTGCGTGTCTCCTTCATTTTTTTTTCTTCCTCCTGGTTTCAGTTTGATCTTGAAAAATAAAAATGTACACAACAACATGACGTTGGGTTTCTTTCATATCAAAGCCGTTGCCGCGGTAACATGTGTTTAAATCGGCCACGCGGTGGAGACAAACCCAAAGAATGAAATAAGGATTCACAACGTTCACACTATCTGTGCAGAATCCCAGAAACACAATTAAGAAACTTTAAACAGACTCTGGACCCATTAAACCCAGAACGGGTTTGGCGACTCCCGACCTCTGACCCGCCGCCTGCTGGTCCAGGTTCAGTCGTGGTCCCACAGAGTCAAGGAACGACTCCAGGAGCTTCAGAGAAGTTTGTGTTTGCGAGATTGTGGTTGTCAGGAAACAAACTGACAGCGAAGGAAAAACAGAGAAATCCCCCAAAGGAAAGCCAGCGAGACGCCTAATGAGATGCTATTAGTGGGGAGGTGAGATGAAACCGCTCAGGTGTTTC